AAAACCCCAAAACCCCAAAACCCCAAAACCCCAAAACCCCAAAACCCCATGAGATAGAATATATAAAATTAATAATTTTAATATTCGAATAATTAAATGGAAAAAACACTACAAGGAAATAATAATAGAGGCTAAGCTCATTCATCTAATGATAGCTATGAAGTTTCGAGCAATTCCAACACAAATACTTTCAGAGATACAGAGCTAGATGAATTTGAAGCAAGCAATCTTATGAAGATATAGAGTTTAACATCAATTATCAATGATCCAAAGAGTGACACTTTCTATAAGTAATTGTCTGCGTTCATTTAAAAACCTGACTCCTTTGGCTTTAAGTAATTGAAAGAAAGCTAAATTCCTGATTCAGTGTCTTTACCAAAAATACAAGTTAAAGATTTTTAGGAGTATTTAAGCAACATAAGACCTGTAAATTTTAATATTTATATAACTTGTTCCATAGGCTTTTGATATTTACAAAGAAAATCATGACAGAACTTATCAGGAAGATCAAACTAAGGGCAATAGCACTAAGAATAAAGTCTAGACTCCTCTAGATCCAAATTTGAAGCAGGTGCCTGACGAGTTTTTCGATGAAAACTTTAGATTGAATAAACCATTTTTCCAAATTAGTAGCAATGATAGTGCACTGAAATATAATGAAAGTCTTGCTAAATACTTAGAAATTATTGAGTCGAATTTGGTTCGAAATATTTAGTCAAACTTTGATTTCTTTACAGATGCATTCAATAACTTTGATGGAATGAAAGACGATCTAAAGATGATATCATAGAAGGCATAAAATATGAAGATGCATAATGAGAAAATAAAGGCTTAAAATTTATAAAAGATGCTCAAAGTTTATCATTTATAAAGACAAAAAAGTAATATAGCGAAAGTAAATGAAAAATTGAAATACTTAAGTCTTCTGAAATAATCCTTACCTGTCATAGCAAATCTAATTGATAGTGGTAGCAATTTCGAGGTAGTTCTAGATTTGATTTAGAACTCCAATGAACTTATCGACAATAAACTGTCATAACTGCAATTAACAAAGTAAATTATGACTATTTTAATTTATATTTAGAGTATATAAATAGAGGCTAAAGGAGTTTAATTTTAAATGTAAAAAGCGCCTTGAAAGTGAGTGTCTAAATCTTATTGAAATGTACTTGAATTCCAGAATATAATTTATAAAGCCAAATATCACTGAGGATTACAAACAAAAATTCAATTAAAATCTTAAATTTTACTTTGATGCTGAGAAAGTTTTATCAAAAGTGGGTCTTGAATTTATCCATCGAAACTGGACTATTAATTTTGAGGACAGTAACTAAAGCGTTTTTTCTAAGATAAAAAATCTAGTAGTTTCTTTGATTAAAGTTGAAGATATAGATTAATTCTTGAGAGCTTTGAAATAGTTCTACATCAATAATTAGAAAAGATTATATTCTTTGTTTCTAGACTATATAATGAATAATGCAGTAACCAGCCCTGCAGAAGTGAAATTTAAGAAAGATGTATTCAAATATATTTCTGAATAAAGTGATCAAAATATTTACAACTCTTTTATGCTACTGGGAATTCTTCTCAGTTAAATTTTAAGTTCACTTCAAAATATGGAAAGAATAGTAAAAGATACTGTCCTTAATTATTAGAGGAATTACTTGGAAGAGAGAGATCTTGAAAATATTTCTAATAAAGATAGAAAACTAATTGAGAGAAAACATGACCTATTTCTCAAAAACGTAGTGGATGAGTTTTAAGATACTTATAATAAAGTTAAACAGTATTTCACTACAAAACTTGAAAAGAACTGGAAAAGAATAAATGAAAAAAATTCAACACTCAAAATAAGCTCTGAGGATTTCTAGCAGCAACATTTCTTTATGATGACTTTGATAGACAACTTAAAAGCACATTTTAAAATAAATCCTATAAATATAACTTCAGTCTCAGAAGAGTATTAGAAAAAATTTGTGTTAGATTTTAAGTCCAAAAAGACTGATGAACTTAAAATGCTTCTTGATAATGAGCTTTGGACTCATTCATAAGTGAATCCATTCTTTTAGATTATAGTCGACAAAATAAATTCAATAGAGCTATTTGACTAACCTGATTAGGAGCAAGACTAACAGAATTAACTGCAACCAAAAGATTCTCTCTCTACTCCAGATTGTGAATATAAAATTGTGACATCATTAATAAAATTCATTCACATGGTGTTTGAATTTTTGAGAATTATTAGAAATTTCCCTCAAGTATCATTTGAAGGAGCTTCTCGCCTTATTGAGTTCATAAAGGTAATAATCAACATATTAATTTTATTTTCTAGTTTTACAACTCTGTAACTTGCTAGTTGATTCTTGGAAGCGGGGCATTTTACTAGAAAAAGCTTGAAAGCATAACAGCAAAGCATTTAAGCTTGACTGCTAATTGCTTGTGCTTTGTTCTTGATGAAATACCGTTTATATAATCATAAGTGGCTATAAATCTTAATGAGATTCATTTGAAACATATTGATGCAGAGTTTGTGAAGCTTTCAGAGGATTTGAAGAATCATAAAAATGGCATATTTGAAAAATTGTAGCAAATGGTTACTGATAGTATTCAAGACAATTGTGATGAAGCTAAAGGAAAAATAGAATGGGATAAATAATTAGAAAAAGGTGATAAAGTAGCGGTCAATCCATATATCTAAAGCATCTCAAAAGATGTCACAAACATGCATAAGGTCTTGTCAGGAGTTTTGCCAAAGCATAGTATCGAAATTATTTTTGGGCAGATATTTAGATTTTTAATGAAAACTTTCGATGATTTCTATGCTTCTGTTAATGTAATAAATTTATCATTCTTAATTTATTTAGACACAAACTAAATATGGAAAGAGTAGAATTAAGGTGGATCTCAAGTACTTTTAGAAGAGTTTGATGAATCTTAAATTCGAGGATGAAAACCTGCAATCAATGGTGAACTAGAAGATAAATACAATTCTCACAGCAAGATGTGGCATTAAGAATGAAGAGAGTTGAAAACAATTTTATTAATTTATACTTTACGTCTTAATCCACATTTAAAGTGAAATGATTTAATGGAGGGGTTTTGGGGTTTTGGGGTTTTGGGGTTTTGGGG